TGGTGTGGATCAGTGAGTCGATGTCTCGCTCACTCTTGGCATACAGCTTGATTCATCCATGTAGAGGAGGTGACTGATGTTGGCCCCATTTTTGAGTCGGTATCCGTAGCCAGTCTTGTTGATAATTTGGTGAGGGGGTTCAGGCCTATGCAGAACAGTAGCGGGGACAGAGCATCTCCTTGGTATATGCCACATTGATGGACACTTGTGCAAGTGGTTGCAGTTGGCTTCAAGGGTGGTTTTCCACAGCTTCATCGAGTTTGCAATGAAGGCTCTCAGAATCCTGTTGATGTATACATCTCTAGGCATTCAATGATCCAAGTATGCGGCATTGAGTCATAGGCTTTCTTGTAATCGATCCAAGCCATGCACAGGTTGGTGTGTCGGGTTTTGCAGTCTCGGGCAACTTGTGCGGTCTACGAGGAGTTGGTGTTTGGCTCCTCTGGTGTTACACCGATACCCTTCTGTGCCGTGCTCATGTGTTTATTCATGTGTTTGCTTATCTTGGCCGCTATGATGCCTGACATGAGCTTCCAGGTTGTGGAGAGGCAGGTTATTGGTCGGTAGTTGGGGGGACTGGATCTTTGATGGATCTTCTGGATTAGGATTGTCCGCCCTTCAGTTAAACCATTCAGGGTGAGTCCCACTTTGTAGCAGCTGGTTCATTTGGGCTGCCAGTTGCTCATGGAGAGCAGTGAGTTTCTTTAGCCAGTAGGCATGGATCATGTCAGGCCTGGTGCTGTCCAATTTTTCATGCCTGAAAGTCTTTCTTGAACATCTTCACAGTGATGGTTACGGGGCTTGCTCAGGGAGGTTGCTGTGGTCTTCTCGTAGAGATCAGCCACTGTGCATTGCTGTTGTGGGACGCCTCCCTTTCCCATATGCCTTTCCAGTATTGTTCAGTCTCCAGCCTTGGTGGGTCTGCTCTGTTGTTATTACCCTGCCATTGAGAGACACCTTAGCTGGTTGAGTGGAGAAGAGCCGGTTAATCCTTCTGGATTCATTCTCCCTTGTGTATCTCTTTAGGCGGCTGGCCAAGGTTGGAGCCTCTGTTGGCAGTTTCAAGTGCTTCAGGTATGGGCATCTGCCTGTACTTTCTGGGTACTGGTCTTTTCATTGTACCCTTGTGGAGCTCTGACAGTTGGCTCACTTCCCTCCTTGTTAGCTTGATTTTAGCCTCTAACCGTCTTTTCCATGGTGGGTATTGGGTCTCATGGTTGCTCTTATAGCCAAGTATCTCAAGGATCACTGATGCTGAGTTGTAGATCAGCTCATTGGTTTCTGTTATGTGTTGGTAGGGATCGTTCTCAATGCTGCATTCACATTCTCAATGAGACTTTCTGATGGTACTTCACTCAGCCGTTGTAATTGGCGCCGGGGAGGCCTGGTTGTCATGATTGTCATTCGGGTCATGATTCTCTCTCTCAGTGTGTCTTGTTCAGCTCTGTTTCGCTCATTGGGGCCGTGTATCCCCTCACTGGGTGGGGACTTAACAAGTCCCCACCCTGACATCCGGGTTCCTCCCTTTTGCCGTAGCATTTGTGTTGTATCTCGTCAATCTCAAGTTGTGATAGCAGTTGCCGTTTGCGGATGTTGGAACACTGAGCTACTAGTTGTTTAGCGCTTAGTGTTGACTGGGGATGTCGAAGTAACCATTCCTTCCCCAGTCTTTGCATGTAACCCCTCTGACTAGGGTTACTTGAGTAGTAGCATCCAACAGATCCACATTTTCATCTCTCGCCCATTTCCGTCTTGTTCCAGTAGCCCATTTGTCATCAAGGTGCTCTGGTTCCCCAACACCTGACGCAGACCTGTTTGGCCGGGCGAAGTCTGAGCCGGCATGTACGCAACTTAGTATCTCTCATGGTATGAGGTAGGCAGTAGCTTGAAGGGTCTTTGCCTAAGGACCTAGACTGGATTCAAACCCTGCCCTTCTCGGGTGATATACTGATGCCTTATGTATTGAGCTATCCAGTCATATATATATATATATATATATATATATAATATATATATATATATATATATATATATTCCTGCCCTGGACAGAAGTTCAAACTGAATGCAGCTTTTTTTTTTTTCTGTTCAAATTGTCAACCCGCTACACTGGCTCCAATTTACCATTGGAGCAGCCACTGGCCTGATTTCCATTCCTGTTTGTTGCGATATGAGCCATTGTTCAATAATTGGTCCTATTTCTCCCTTTGTGTCATACTTTCAGAAATTACACCGCAAATTTAAAATGACAGGTGAGCAAAGAAAAAATAAACTTAAAGAATCTCGAATTATAAAAAGCAAAGTCAGACGGACCAATGAACTTACTATGGTGGCGGCAGCCATTGTTGTTGTGGGTAGCAGCTGGTCTCTCACTGTAAAATTTTAAATCTCTTCTTTTGGAGGGGAGCCTTTCCTGACAACAATGAGACATCAGATCTATTTCCTCGTTCCGAAGGAGCCATCAACTCAGAGGAGGAGCTGAACCGACGAATGGTGGAGACCAGTTGACCTCAAAGCGTCCTCATCTTTTGGACAATGTTGTTCCTTCTCTTCAGCCCGGCTTCCAAGCCTGTGAGCATATTTTATAAAAAGTTGGCAAACAGATTGCAACACAGCAGACAAAAACCCAACCTTGCCTTGCCTTATCGCCTCGGGAAGGCCGGGAAAACTGTTGGGCAAAACCACCCAGTATGGAAAGCTGGAAATCACAAAAAAAAACAACCAAAAAACAACAAGAAAAATTTTTTTTTTCTTTTTTTTAAAAAACCGATTTCATGTAGTTTCAGAAGAGAAACAAAATATATATTTTGGTGTTTTTATGAAACCAAACATCAACACAAATCAACTCTTGAACTGAATTACACCTTTTGGGATGACTATAATAAAAAGTTGTTGTTTTTCTTTTTAATTTAAAAGAAATAAACAATGCTTGAGAAAAGTATCATCTTGCTCCGTTGGGTGTAGACTTAAACCTCAACATTGGGACTTCAGATAGAAATAGAAAGCGATATTATTGTTAATATGCAATAAGCATTTCGGCGTGTAAGTTAAATTTAACTTCTGAAATAATCCTCTTTTAAAGATTACGATTTATCAAGATGCTCCAGCACATTTTACATATTTATGTATTTAGTTTTTTTTCCAATTTCAGCCTCCTCTGGACACCCGCTATAGTTTGATTGAATTGTAATGTAAAAAATATTTCAACATTTCATAAAACGTGTGCTTTTTTTTGTTTTTGTTTTCTTCTTGCATTAGTGTGACATGTTGTTTCTGACACTAGAACAAAACACTTCACTATTCTTTACTTTTTCAGTTCCAAACTGGGGGAATAAAAAAAAGAAAACTTAACTCTCTTGTTGTAAGTTTTGTCTTCTCTGAGCAGCCAAAAGGAGAAGTTCTGCAGTCAAACGCCGACTGTTGGTTGATGCGGTCCGGTCTGCACCAACTGTGTATACTCCCTGCGTTTCCTTCCTCTGTGGAAGTTTGTCTTTGTTCTTTTTATGAGTGCTCTTGTTTTTCTGCTGTAGTCAGTGTTCTCACGTCACACTGCAGGATCACAGCAGGGCTTTTGGGCAAAGAGTTGCAAAGCATGAAGCGGAAAGATGAACAAAAGGAGTTGGCTCCTTGTTGGAAACTACGATGAAACGAAAAGTCAAGATTTAACGCCAAGTATCTCTGCCTTGTTTTCAGCCGTGAGCTCACACAGTTAGAACAATCACTGATGGGGAATGGACACTTTTTCTTATTCATTTACTGATGTGTCTGCTGTTTTCATACTGGTTTTCTGTTAAAGAAGTTTCCTGACAATATGCAGACGCTTTCACAGCTGTCTGCAAAGATAGGTGACGTCCCGTATAAATGTCAAACGCAGCTTTCTTGGCTAAACACTGTTGTACCTTTCTATTTTGCTAAAACGGTAATGTCGGCTGGTCCGGAAGCCGGAATGCACACCTTATGTTAACACCATTGCAGAAAAGACAATTTGAATGACGTCCTGTCGCTTTCTGTGATTTGGTTTGACACAATTTCTTTCTGTCCACTCAGTGATACAGTAAAGCACATTGCTGTTTCCAGCCTCGTCAATTACTTTCTTCTTTTGACAAGTGTAAAATATTTGCAAAAAAAAAAAAAAAAAAAAATCATAAAAGTCACTGAAATGATACCAAAGTAAAATAATACATAATTTTACAGGTTATAGGTGCATTTCCATTATAATTGCACAATTTGAAATTTGCTTAATGAAGGCACAGCTATTTTGAACTTGTTCTTTGATAAAACCCGTTGTCGCTGTGATTAGATGTGTTTGTTTTTTTCTGGATGCACCAAAAAGTGACGTGATATTGGCACTGGCAGAAGCCACAAAAAAGAAGCGGTACGAGACGGTGGCGTGCGCATTTCTACACCGCAATTGTAAAATTGGGAGTTTTTTTATTTTTTCCAACATTAGCGGAATATTGGGGAAATTTAGAGTCCAGTTGTAATGGAAATGCATTTAGTCTGGCATAATTTATGCCATAAGATGTGGGTTTAAAATTGGACCGAAATGCAAACAACCTCAGTAGGCTGACAAGCTTTACCAAAAAATATAAAGAACAAAAATCCAACTTACAGAACAGGACATGCAGCTGAGATTGAGGACTAGGTGACCAACTAGTAACTAGACGTGTCCAATGAAAACCAATCTTCTTCTTCTTCCATACCATTTTATTGGATGCTTACAAGCTTTGTGTATACTATTTGTATTCACCAATACAAACGTATTAATGAATCTACACACATTAAGATTGATTAATAATAATATATCCAACACAAGCATAAATAACATGGAAGTGATCAAAGCTCAAAATTGTCCTGGGTCTTAATGTCCCAGGACAATTTTGCCAATTTGGGCAACTGCCATCTAGTTCAGTCTGACTCATACAAACAAACTTTTAGTAAACTTTGTTTTGACTTTTCTATTTCTCTGAACGTGACAAGTGTTTCATCTTTGTGTTAGTGGTGTCAACTTGAAGGTCTCCATTCCAGCCTCAGGACCTGCACACATCCAAGGTATAACATTTTTACCGCCACCTTCGTAATGTCTGTACTGCTGAATACATGACAAGCATGGCATGAGGAAAAAAGTTAGGTTAACTTGTCTGTATGCAGATTGTCCATGATGAGTATTAATCTGCAGACAAAAGCAAATGAATCTACCTACTTCCAATTCTTTTTTCTTCTTCCAGTTCTGAGTCAATTTGAATACGTTTACAGATCCGGTAGGGTTATAAAAAGTAATTTGACAATATGTAGAATTTTTTTTAAGATCATGTTTAGAATTATTCTTTTTTTATTTTTTGCCTTCTATTTAATAGATTTCAACTTCCCTTGGGACTTTCCTAGTGGAGTAAAAAAAACTATGCAGTCTCGCCCCTCTGGTTATTACTACCAAGGTGCTTGGCGGTCACTAGATGGCACCATAGTTCACCAGTTTAACACCATCTCAGCAATCAGCCAGTGTCTGAAAACAAAGCACTCCACCTGTATGGAGACTCCACCATTAGACAATGGTTTGAATATTTAAACCAATCGCTACCAGGTATGTGTCCATTAGAAATGTCTGAAATCAGGGTTTAAACTGGTTCACATTGCTGCCTGATAGGGTTAAACACCTTTAAAACACAATTAACAAAGACAGAAAAGACAAGAGTCAGTATTCTTGCTGCTCGCGAGGAGAACAGACAGAGATGTGCTTCAGTTACAATCTCCTACCGCTCTGAAGCATATTTGTCCGCTCCTCTCTATTTATTGTTTTCAGGATCCATAATCACAAGGACGCTGTAGCTCTAAAGGGAGGGGAAACCAATTCATCACACAGCTACAGCGCTAGTTATTTACTAACTAAGAAACAAATTATCTTGCACTAGATAATCTCGTTCCAGACACAAAGTCTAACAGAATATGTAGTAAATCTTCACAGTGGCAGTTTTATAGCAGTCCAGCAACTCAACGAAGCAGAGCTCTTTCACCAAGAGATAACACTTCAGGAAAACACTGTCTCTGCTTTCCATCAGTGAGGCCTTCTGAGAAAGGAATCAGAGCAAATCAACAATATAGAAACATTTTTTATTTTTTTGAATTTTTATAACATACAAGAATAAGACAAAAAAAAAAAAAACAAGTGACAGTGAAACACTCAATACAGATTATCATTAAGTAATTTAATCCCCAAAGCAAACAAACACAAATTAACAATAATAAAAATAAATAAAAAAAATTAAAAAAACTCAGCAATCTCTGCACAGTTCTCTTAATGTCCTTTGTAGTGTTTCAGAAACTTGGTCAACGGTGACCATGTTTCTTCAAATTTCGCTCCTTTTCCTCTGACAATGTAAGTGAGTCGCTCCAGAGCCATACACAATGTCATCTCCTTCATCCACATGTGAATTGAAGGCATGTCCATTTTTTGTCCAGTATAGAGATATTAATCTCCTGGCCTGCAGGAGTCCAAAGTCAATCAATTTTAACTGTCTGGAATTAAAAACACAGTTCTCCGGATAAATACCCAAAACACACATTTTGGCCTCATCAGGTACATTCACTCTTACAATCTCTGACAAAGTTTGCGTAATCAAGTTCCAATATTGCTGTAACTTTGGGCACTCCCATACACAGTGAAAGAGAGAACCCCTTCCAACCAAACATTCACAACAAATATCTGGGATGTTAGGTGCCCAGCGGTTCAATTTAACTGGAGTTATGTAAATTCTCATCAACCACTTGTATTGAAGGAGTTTCATTCTTGTATTGATTGACTGTTTTTGGGCCTTTACGCATGCAGTGTTCCAGTCCGCTACTTGTATCTCTTCTCGAATGTCAACTCTCCATGCATCCAGTTTATCTTATCATGCCTTAGTAAAGCTAAATAAAATAAAGAAATATGACCTCTCTTCTCTAGATTTTCTAGCACAATATTCTCTAGGTATGACAGTGGTGGTTTGGGTTCAATCTTTTTATGTTTAGACATAATAAAATGTTTAATTTGTAAATACTTATAAAAGTGCTTCTTTGAAATGTTATACATTTGACATAATTGTTCAAATGTAAGAAGCCTGTCATCCTTATAAAGATCTGCCAATTTCTGTATACCTTTATTTGCCCAGCCTTTGAAACCTGCCTTAAAATATCTGTTTCCCCAGATGGGTGAGAAAGAGGAAATGGAAGGAGCATCTCCAATATATTGATGGGTCCTATACCAGACATCAATTGTGTTTTTAAGAAAGGGATTCTTGTCATTTTCATCAATTGCTTTGGCTTTGCGAAGTACAAATACAGATTTAATCTAAGGTTTGTTGTTAATTGTTCAATTTTCATCCAAGCTGGGGGTGTTTTGGTTGAAAAGTAGAACATGGCTGAGTGTAACTGGGCAGACCAATAATACAATTTAAGATTAGGGAGTTGTAACCCCCCTCCCCCCCTCTCATATGGCAGGTACAACAGGCGAAGTCTCAACCTAGGTTTATTATTATTCCAAATAAATCTACTGAAAATATCGTTTAATCTATCAAAAAAATGTTTTGGAAGAGGCAAAGAAATTGTCTGAAAAAGATACAAAAATCTTGGTAATATATTCATTTTGTTTATATTTATTCAGCCAATCATCGATATGGGCAATGTCATCCAATTATTCAGAAACTCCTTTACTTCACTGACCAGAGGATCATAGTTTGTTGATACAATTGCTTCAACGTCTGAGGTGATTTTAACACCTGGGTACACAAATCCCTCCCTTGCATTGATAAAAGGGGTCTGTACAACCGGGTTCAGTCTTTCATCCCTGTTCAGAAATAGAATAGAGGACTTTGAATCATTTATTTTGTAGCCAGAGAACTGACCAGATATCTCTATTTGTTGCATTAAATTTGGGATGCTAACAGATAAATTTGTCAAAAAAAATATCAGATCATCAGCATACAATGCCAGTCTATGCTCCTGGTCTCCCAGCTGAATGCCAAATAGATCCGTTGGCGTTCTTATCATCATTGCCAAGGATTCTATAGCTAAGACAAATAACATTGGAGATAACGGGCAACCCTGGCGAGTGGAACGTTCTAACATGAAAGGTTTAGAGGCTAAATTATTTGTCCAAACACTGGCTTCGGGAGTTGCATACAAAAAACCAATTAATCGGTTTTTATACTATTAATTGCTCTTTCACTTTGCATCTTCTTAATTCTCCACGCCAATAATTTTCCAGCTTTCTCTCCTTGGTCATAATAGGATTGTTTTAACCACATTAAACTTTTTGCTGCTGCCTCATAAGATAATTTATTATATTCAGTTCTCAAACATAACAATTCATTCTGCTTTGTTTGGTCATCATTGGTATTCAAGTCCAATTCCAGAGATTTTATTTGTTTATCCAAGATTTCCAGCCATTCCTTCTGTTGTTTGTTTTTGTACTTGTATAGCTAAGGATTTCACCTCGAATATATGCTTTGAATCCTTCCCATCTCACTGAAGCGCAAGTCTGATCCGTATTTAATTCAAAGTAAGTATCTATCTTCTCCCCTATTAGTCTGACAAAATTTGGATCTTGTAGCCATTTTACTTGAAACCGCCAACGGGGTGAATTATGCACCAAGTTTTCTATGTAAATATTCAGTGAGATAGGTGCATGATCACTGATCACTACGCTGTCATACTGACATTGTTTGATCATTGATAAAAGTTCTCTTGAAACAAGGAAATAATCTATACGTGAGCGGGATTTATGTATACTCGAGTGACAAGAGAATTCTATTTTTATCAGGATTTTGTTCTCTCCACACTTCCACCAAGTTAATATCCAATATATATTGACTTATTAATTTTAGAATCAGAATCAGAATACACATCAAAAGATTCCTCATCAGAGCTTTCTCTGTCAGACTCAGGATCTTTCGTCAGTAAAGGATACATCGGCGTCATCTGGTCCCCCACGGGCGAAATTGCTGTAGTGATGAGATGATTAAGCAAAGAACGCAGGCAAGGAATACAATAACATCCACACAAGGTTAGAATGGCAGCAAAGACAGTCATCGACACTAAAGCAGAGGACACAAGGGCTCGGTTCTTTCCAAAAACATTCATCCAGTCATCCCACCTGGAAGTATTCACTCCAGAGAACTCCCTCATCTTACCATTAAGGGTACGGAGCCCCTCAATGGCTTTCGTCAGGCTGCCATCAGCCGCTGTGTTGTTGGGTATAAAAGTGCAGCATCTTTCACCAAAGATTGCACACACTCCCCCTCGTTCAGCCAGCACCATGTCAAGTGCAATGCGGTTCTGGAAAGCCATCAGTGATGTAACGGCCAGCTGCTCGTGCACCGCCTCGAAGCCTGCCTGTGTCCCGTTGCCCAGTTTTTGTACATTGAAACGGATGTAGTTTGATTCTGTCTACGTTTTTGTTTAACGTGCATCACCAAACAAATTGTGGATTCAAACCTGCTGCACTTTGGTCGGCCAATTTATATTCGTCAGGTTGTAACGCTTGGGTTGTGTTTAAGAGTAACGAGGAGACGGCAGATTCTTCAGGACGGTTAAACACACAACCACACTGGTACTGGGAATTCCACAGTGTTGTTCTTTAATAAACTCTCTTCACCAACCTTACAAAGCCCGGTTGAACAGCTGCTATGTTATCAAACATAAAAAGGAGCAGGGTTCTCACAACCAGTAGCGTCACTAAGAGTTAGGAAGCTAACATGTCTCGCTGCTGTAGCATGTCCTTCCCTCGTTCCCTACAGAGAAACTGAGTCGCATACTTGTGACATCATCAGCAATACTACAGTATCTTAAAGAGACACTACACAATTACGGCTGTTACAAGGTACACCACGGGGAACACCAATGGCATCGATGTATGTAGGATCATTATTCCTCCAGGTCAGGTCTAGTTTCTGCAACTGATGCCACTGCTTAGGCACAACATCAGTTAAAGCTTGAATTAAATGATCAGCACTCATAGAATAAACAGAAACAGGATATAATAAAGAAATTAATGCACACATCCCTGTTACCTTCCTAGGTAATCTATTAAAAATTTTGTCACCACCGCACCACCACCAGACATCTGCATGAAAGACAGGGTTAAAATCATTGTTTACAGAGAGAACAGTCCGGAGTTAAAAACATCATTTGTCATATATCAAGTTTAATCTCTGTAGTTTGCTGACGTCATACTTGCCCAGGAGACTATACCTATCCTCATTCTGTAAGTAGTGCTACAAGAATACATTTTCATTTATGACATGAATTGTTCCCAAACGAATACACAAAATAAAAAAAGAAATGTTTGTTAGTCATTTTCATTAATGTGCAAGTCCGTTCTGCTCCTAAAGATACTACAAGGTTGTGGACGATCTTCACCAGTTTTGAGACGGAAAAACTATTTGGTTTAACCCCCTTTGTAACCTGGACTTTGCCCTGTAGGTCAGTGAGCGTCCCGAGCTTGCTTCCCAATTACTTTTTTTAAATGAAATGACCTTTTTGCAGTGTGTTAAATGTATCCAAGTTGGCTTTTCCGCTGCATCTGGGTTTTTAGTGGAAAAAGTTCAATCCATTCGAAGAAAGTATCAATTATTACTAAACAGTACTTTTTTCTTCACTTTTATTTAATTCTATGAAGTCCATGTGTATACTTGAAAAGGATGTTGCGGATTAGGAAACTTTCCTCTACGCGGTCTTGGATTGCCCTGAGAGTTATGTGTAGCACATATCAAACAGGCCCTACAGAAATTTTTTGAATAAGAAATAAATCCATAAGTAGTGTAATGTTGATGTATCCTATCATCCCCCCTGTTGAGACATGCGAAACGCCATGGTTCAATATTGCAGCCCATTTATACAGAATTTTTTGCTAAAATAGGTTTAGTTGCAGATCATTTATAGATTTCATCTTCCAGTTTTGCTCCATTTTTCATCCATAAATCCTTTTCATCTTGAGGACTTCATTGTTACATGTCTCTTAAAGTTTCTTTTTATAAGTTTGATTTTTTATCTAAATGTAATACATTCATCTCTCCCTCAGCTGCTTTTTTTTTGGTTTTGTTTTTTTTTTTTTTAATTTTCTCTGCAAAAGCATTCCCTAGGGACGCCTTATCTGTCTCTGCAGTGTACGCCGCACATTTACAAATTGCTAGTCGTTTTGGTAGATGCACAGCTTGTAGTAGTTCTTTTAATAATTCTGCATGTGTTAGTGGTTTTCCTGTCGATGTTATCATACCCCTGTTCTGCCAGTACTGTGCAAAGGCGTGAACTGTTGCAAACGCGTATTGACTGTTGGTGTAAATAGTCACTTCTCTGTCTTTCATTAATTTACAAGCAGTGGTTAGTGCTATCTACTCTGCAGCCTGTGCTGAGTAATGTAAGGGGAGTCTTTCAGCTTTTAGCACTTCTTTGTCGGTTACCACTGCACACCCAGTTTCAGTCTTTCCCTGTTCATTTTTTTTCCTTAAGAGCCATCTACATAAAGTATTTCACCTCTATCTAATGGTAGGTCTTTTAAATCATTTCTACTTTTAGCTATTTGTTCTGCTAATTTCTGACAATCATGCTTTGTACCGTCATCTAGGACAGGTAGGGGTGTTGCAGGATTTAAAACTGTGCATCTTTCAATAGTCAGATGGGGTTGCGATAAAAGAGTGGACATGCATGAAAAATATCTAGCAGGTGATAAGAATGTCATATTTGTCTGCAATAACAGTGCCGACACCGCATGCGGTACTTTTGATGTTAACGGGTGAAACAGAACTATAGGAGCTCTAACTTCTACTGCCATAGAAGCAGCAACTACAGCTCTCACACAATGTGGTAAGACACACGCCACACTATCAAGTCTGGAAGAAAAATATGCTATCGGTCTCATTTTATCACCATGCTGTTGGACTAGCACCAAAGTCATGAAATGACCTTTGCAATCCACCATCTGAACAAAAGGTCTTTTATAATCTGGTAACGCTAACGCAGCGTTTGACACGAGCGCTTGTTTTAGTTTGCAAAGTGCCTCTTCTGCGTCATCTGTCCACAACAAAGAAGACATTTTAAGATCTTTTTCATACATTAATTTTTTCAAAGGTGCCACTATTTCTGCATAATTAGGCACCCAGTTTTGACAATAGTTAGTGAACCCCAAAAAGGACATCATCTGTTTTTTGTTTGTGGCTTGTGAGCTTGGAGAATTGTTGTTTTTCTATCCTCCACTATGGTTTGTCCTCCTTCACTCAAGTTATGACCCAAATACTTAACTTGTCGTTTACACAGTTGAAGTTTATTTTTGTTAACCTTATGACCTTAAAGGTAAATGTTATAAAAGCGCTAAAGTGTCTTGCTTACAGGTTTCCCTGTCTGGAGATGCTACCAAAACATCATCTATGTACAACAAGACTTGGCTCTAAGTTTAATAGAAATTACATTATATGAGGTTTGATGATTGATTGCTGCGCACATCAAAACAAATAGGTGGAACAATAAAGTGGAATGGTTCAACCTGATAAATTAAACAACTAAAAACAATCCTGAGGATTAACTCATAATAGCTGACCTTTGGGCAACACAAAAGCGTGTGGACAATTGGAGATCAAGAATTTCTTCTGCTCCGACACAACAAATAATAAATTTCTTCATAGATCGGCATGTGTTATCAGTCACACAAAATTAGTCGCAGAATATCAAGGGGAAAAAACCCTATGTACTATTGTATTTCTGTTGCTCTTACGAGGGATACGACATGGACAGCAGCGAGGCTGTGGCATGTGTCAGGAGATCTAAAGGGCATTCTTCATTTGGACATTATACTCCAAATGAAGGATCATGGTTGTAAACTAACAATGATTCAGACGATGGTAACGAGACAAAATATGTCAGAAAAAGGTGTCGTGATTTACTTCTGGCAGAAGGACATCCATAACAAGTTTCCCCGTAACGTCTCAACTGCAACCAGCTGTGTCTGGACACCAGCTGCTCATCGTCTTCCATGAAGATGTCGACCCCTGCCCTTTGATGCTACCCTAGAGTTTATGTTCCTGGGTGTGTTGTCCAATCCAAATTTGACATGGATCAGGGAGGCGATTAAAGGTGTAACATAACCAATATGTTTGCTTTTCTCAGTGACTATATTAAATGTTAAAAATTCCAAGCTGTCTAGTGGAACAGTTGGGGAGTTCATTATTAAAAGAAAAAATGTCGAAGTTCCACTGTTAAAAAAGCTGATGTTGGGTAAATCATGTTTTGGGGCCAGGTGTGTGGGAATTAGTGATAAAAAGGGGGCGTGTGCGCCGGAAGACGCGGCGCAATCAGTAAAAAAGACGTTCATGTGTCGATCTGTGCAGCGGGAGTTCTGGCCTTATTGTCTGTTTAAACCAAAGAAAAGTAACGAAAAAGATAAAACATCGATTAAGGTTCGTCCCAGCGCCGCAGATCGCGCCCGAAAGCCTGGACCGGAGTTTGCACCTAGGAGACGCCGCCCTGTGCAGAAGGAGACGCCAGTGCATGGAGGAAGCCACCGGGGGGGAAAAGGGACGCTCCCGCTGAGATCTGGACTTTATTATCTTTTGGGGGGTTTTGGGTGGTACCACTCTTCTTTTTTCTCATCTTTTTTGGGGTTTCTGAAGTTATGGATTTTTTCTTTCGGGATTGAAGACGGGGATTAATACGGAGCGACGCTTCCAGGACGTTGTTTGATTTGGAATTTATGGGACTCTTTTATGGACAAAAAATGTAAAAAAGGAACAGGACTATTGGGACTTTCTATTTTTTTTTTTTTAAGTGTGCTTGATGAATCAGCCCGAAAAAGGCGAATCAGACCCTTCATTATTTTGGTGGGTTTTGGAGTAATGACGTAGGTTTATTAACTATTCAAATTTCGAGTTTCTGAATAAATTATTTTTTGGTAAAAACCTAATAATTTTGTATTGAGTGGTTGAACATTTGTTGTATTTCAAATTAACCCGGTAACATACCCTATTTACCTGGAACAAGAGCCCCCTTGTGTGTTTTTTTGTGAGTTCCGCTTTAATCAAGCTGAATATTACAAAGGATTTCTCAAATATGCATTTAAGAAGAACAAAAACAGGTGTGTTTTTTATTTTACAAAATACTCCCCTATTATTGTAAAATGAAACAAAAAAATATTTGTCTGAACTTACAGCACAACAATCTTTTTTTTTTCTTACCACCCTCTGAAAAAGACAATATCCCTCACAGTACAAGGAGTACAATACAAGGCACAAAAATGTGCCGCTTAATTTGAATGATGTGTTGTTTCGACATGATTAAAGTGGTACAACATCTGTGCCAGGCGTTGATCATTTTTAGTTGTTGGTCCAATTGAGTCAAAGTCCATGGTTCTATTTTTATAGCTCCAGTCCTATTCCAGTTACACCCTGTGAGAACAGAGAGGCAGAAAAACACACAAAGACACACACATCTCCACACAGCTCTCCGGATTTCACAAAGCGAGGACGACAATAGAAAAACATACAAAGGTAAAGAAAAAAACAGACGAGAAAAGTTATTATTCTTCGCTGGTGGTTTTCTTCTGCTCTTTGGATACACATCAACCATCTAAAATTTCAAGTTTTAAAAATTTGTCTAGTTAAATTTGTCAGTTTATAGCACTTGTGGTACAAAAAGGCTGCATTTGTTTAGCACAAAATATCTCTGAAATTTATTATTTTTAAGAGTTGACATATTTAAATATTGACATATTGGGTACAATGAGAATACAACAAGAAGAAATATTTTTAAACGTGGTTGTCGGTGAAACAACCACGTTGTAGGACAAAGGTCAGAATAACCTTTTGATTTATTCATTTTAGTGAATATCTGCGTGTTTGAAACATAGTTGTGTGAATATGTGAATGAGAGATGTGTGCAGTTTGTGTCATACTACAAGGTGTGTACTGCAAGACTTTTACAGAAGTGTGTGGCATTTATATCCCTATTATATGGCCATAGCTATGTGTGTCCACTGGAAGCCAGTGAGGAGTTGTGTGACACGACTGTAGCACAACAACATGGTTTTAATTAGGACAAGTTCAAACTGAGCGTTTTTTGAAAAACTTTAACTATTTTCACATTTTACAACTTATTTAACAACTCTGGCCCTGTGACAGACTGGCCACCTGTCCAGGATGTACCCCGACTCTCACCCGGAATGCAGCTGGAGATAGGCACCAGCAACTCCCAACCTGTTAGGGAGAAAGGTGATCAGAAAATGGCAATATTTTGATGGCACTAAATTTTTCTGAATTTATTGTAGAGCGATCCAACGCCCTTATATTTTACTCAAGACCTCATAAAATCTTGCAGCAGCCCTGGTCACATTTAAAGGTTTTTTTTTAATGGCCTAAACCAGACAATGACAAGAACCTTCTTGCTTAATTATATATTATTTTTGTAGAAAACATGTCTCGTGTGTATCTTGTACAATATTTTGGATTAAGTTTTACCACCAAGGCAATGCTGACTCATTATGTCAGCATTGACATAATGAGTGTTAATTTTTCTTTTATGGTGTTATGGTGTTAATTTTTCTTTTAACACCATGACAGCTTAAAGCATCACAAAACAGAGGCCCGTTATATCGAACATTTTATATTTTAACTGTCTAGTCTATTGATGGGGGATGCATTTTAATTTCTGAGCTTGCTAATATTTTCATCCACTGTCTATAGTCCTGTTGATATGAAACTTGCAGCAGTAACTCAGAGAAGAGGCGTCATTACGTATAAAAGGTAAAATCCCTCTGAACTCTTCTTCAAGTTCGAGATGCACGTCGCCTAGTTAAAACCTCCCTGTTTCTACCGAAGTTATCCATTTATCAAATTTGGAGCAAACAGGAACTGTAACAAGAGTCTCCATTTTCTAGAAGGATGTAAAAACTATTTCTGCCAAGTAATTTTATTAAAACATCTTGACCATTTTTACAGTATTCATTTCTGTCAAACTATCTTTTCTAGTATTTTTTTTTTTTTTTTGCTAGCTAAATATATGGAAAACAAACAAACGGTCAACTTTGTATGTCCTTATTGGTAGAAAAATGCAAGGAAAATGCAGAAAACAATCAAAATGAGTTTAATATTTAGGATGAGATGATCAAACTGATGGGGAAAAAAGCTTATTTTATGATGCTCATAAAATAAGATGAACTTTGTTCTCCCAAAGGAAACCTGTCTTGCGTACAAACATTGTCTGTCATTTTACATTTATCCTTAAAATCATTTCTGTACAGATCCATTAGCAGAAATAGTTAATAAAAGTTATCTTAAAAAACACGAGTCAGACTGTTGAGCAGTTGACCAGCTACTTTTTTTTTTTAATGGCATTAGTACAACTGCTTTGTGCAGGTCAGACTCAATTCAATTACGTCATTGTTTGATTTTTCAAAGTGGATTTGTTTTCTGCAGGTATTACCATAAATGAGACGATATGGTACACTCACAGTAATCCACTTTAAACCGTCAGTTACTACACTTATCACATAAAACTGCCTAAACTGAATCTTTTAGTCTTTCAGATGTATAAATAGGATTAACTGAGGATTATGCAAGTTATAGATTTGTAAGAACTTGGTTAATTAGCTCATAAATAGCACAGAAGTTCACATGAAAAACATCACTATTGATTTTATCTGAACTTTTTGATGTACAGCAGTGTGATGAAAATCTCATCCACAGAAAATGACATTTCCTACGTGGTTATTAAAACTGATACAACAAAAGCTAAATGAAATTAAAAATTTTCTCAGTCGGTTGTTTTGGTCTTTAATTCAACTGAATGTAATTTCATACTAGTTGTTTGAGGCAACTGGAAAGGATAACGGTAAATATCATCCCCAAAAAGGTTCTTTCATTTATTCTCCAATCATTTAATGAAAAAATTCAGACTTAATCAGAAACCTGAGTTGTTGTTTTCATTTTGTCTTTCAGCACAAGTCGTCATTTGTCATGGAAGGCCAGGCGTTCAGAAAACGTTTTCCTCTGAAGTACAGTTGGATCTTCTTGTTCTTGGCCTGCCTTGTTTTATGGGTCATGTTTTACAGTGAAAGCATCACTGATCACATAACCTGTAGGTTGTCAGAGGTGAGTTTGTCATCTTTAAAATACTAACTCCAAATGCTTAAGGATAGTACGCCGATAAAAAATACAACTTTTCATACCATGAAAAGGTCGTACGAACAAGTGAAGATGGAGCCAACAAACCATCATCTCTGATTATACACTGTTAAAAAAGTCTTTAATCTACAGTAAAATACAGGCAGCAATTTTACTATGTAAATATGAATTTTACTGTATTTTTAAAATAAAATTCTGGCAGACACAGCTGCCAGTGTTGTACTCAAAAAGTGAATCACCCTAAAATAAGTCAAGGGTTTTCTTCATTACTCTTGATAGATTTTTGATCTCTAAACTTTTCTCTATTTAAAGATGAGCGTCCCCACAACAAAGGCCCCAACACTCAGCACCACAAGGTTCAAACGTCCCACTGAGCCTCCTGAGCCAGCCAGCGTCTGCTCCTACCACTCTGTGTTACCAGAGGACGCTCTCGAGGTAGAACTGTTGAAGGAGTCCATCGCCTGGCCTGAAACACCTTCTCTACCGTCTGACTTCTCTCTGAATGACACCAGTGATCCGGCTCACAGCACCTTCACCATTCTGCCAAGAAACGGCGGTGGAAGTTGGCGAGTAGGGGATCAGCTGGAGGTTCTGATACAAATCACCGACTTCCAGGGCCGCCCCAAGTCATCAGGGGGAGATGTTCTGCTTGCTCGACTGCACAACTCGACTCTTTTTGCAGGTGTCGCAGGGCGAGTGTTGGATCATCACAATGGCTCTTACACTGCTGTGTTCGCTTTACTCTGGGAAGGAAGTGCGCATGTTGAGGTACGACTAAAACATTTCTTGATGAGCGCATCAGTAATGGGTCCTAACTACCTGTGCCTCTACTGTCAACTAAATGAACCTTTTTAATGATTTGTGAAAAAAGGAAACAGGTAATCTCGTGTTTGGGTGACTTTATATCCAACCTACAACATGTTAGGATCAGAGGGAATAACATAAACGTAGGAAGAGATGGCATAAACCACAGAGAAGCACCTGAGGAGGAAAAACCTATCTCTCCATCATATAAAGCAGACTATACTTGGGGGCTATGTGATATTTTTCATTCTCCAGCGGCCATTGGGCGAGAGCTGGGGTGTCTGTCCCTGTGACAGACCACAGGGACGATTCTACGTACCTAAACCAAAAACACTAGATTATACTTGCAACCATTGGAGATACCTCATTTTATTTCATAGGGCTTTTTTCCTGTTCTTTTCAAAAAGGTGACTCTGGTCCATCCCAGCGAGGCGGTCACTGTGCTGGAAAGAATCACCCAGCAGAACCCTGACAGAGTTTCTTTCAAAAGCATCTTCCGCTTTGGCTCTGTCACCGAAGCTACTGCTTGCAACATGTGCCTCAAGGCGCCCCCTGAAAAGCTGTGCAACTTCACCGACATCCGCACCGGTGAGCCCTGGTTCTGCTACAAGCCAAAGAAACTCAAATGTGAACACAGGATCATTCACTCATTTGGAGGATTCGGTCTGAAACTAAAGCCGATGGAGGAAAAGCTCTTTCAAAGGTAATGTTAGTACCGGGTTTTGACTCATCTATTTGCAAAATATTAATTTTTATTATTTTATAAATTAACTGGCGGTAATAGTAGATATTCTATAATTAAATACATGATGTATATGATGTTGCTCAACACATTTTCTGTTGTGTGCTGTAGGGATGTCAACTTGAAAGTCTTAATTCAATCATCAGGGACTTCAAACATCACTATTTTACCCAAACTAAAAGGTAAAGGTTTACAACAAGGCAGTGGATTGCTTGACAAATTACAGGACGGGAAATACAAATTAATTACATTGATGCATTATTCTGGCTTTCTCATAGCACCTTATATAATATGTTTTTTATCGTTTACATATAAAGTAGAGATTAGAGATGTAATTGTCTCCACTTGGAATCGGCTCTATGGTTGACTGTGCTTGATCAATTTAGATTGGAGTTTGACCTGTTGACCCTGTTGCAAGATGTTTTTAGATATCTTTAGTCGGGACTGAAGGCTCCCACTTGAGTCTCAACCTGCGTCTCAATGAACTTGTTCTGTCTGTAATTATTAGTGTTTTTCCTAATTTTCCATAAACATGTATTTATTATGAGCATAACAGCTAAATAGTTTTAAGCTGTAATAATAATAATAGTTTAGTCACTAAACTTTCAAAGTTATTTTCTTCCAGTTCTGAATGAAATGGTTCCCACAAACACATCAGGTAAATTTGATCTAATTGTGTAAAAATACAATAACACAATCAGTCTTTAAAAATATTGTTTTTGGCCTTGATTTTCTTCTTGACTAATTTTTTTTAACCTTCTTTCTGACTTTAGGGGGAAGTGTGAACATTCAACCTGCTGGTTATTATTACCAGGGAATTTGGCGAGCACTAGATGGCGCCACGGTTCACCAGCTGACTAACAACTCTGCAATTAGCCAGTGTTTGAGTGGCCAGGTGCTCCACCTGTATGGAGACTCCACCATCAGGCAGTGGTTTGAATATTTGATCTCAGCAGCACCAGGTAGATGCCCAATAGAAATGTCTAGTAACAACTGAAATTTCTTCATGCTCTAGTCTAATCTGCTCTTTTTCACGGTTTCAGATCTCAAGAAGTTTGACCTGAAAAGTCTACAGCAGACAGGACCTTTTATGGCCTTGAACTATGCAAAGAACACCTTGGTGACGTTCCGCTGCCACGCTCCTCCCATTCGTTTCGGTAACTTGCCGATCAGTCAGACACGATACATTGCCAACGAACTGGATGGTGTGGCTGGAGGTGAAAAGACGACTATCGTCATTGGAGTTTGGTCGCACTTCAGCACTTTCCCCGTTGAGGTCTACATCCGGCGCCTGCTGAGCATACGGAGGGCAGTGGGGCGGCTGTTGACCAGAGCTCCAGGTACACTGGTCATCATCAGGACCGCGAACCCCAAAGCGCTGACCCTCTACGAGACTCTGACCAACAGCGACTGGTTTTCAATTCAACGTGACAAAATACTCAGGACAATATTTAAAGGGATGAATGTCCGATTTGTGGACGCCTGGGAGATGACCTTGGCCCACCACCTGCCACACAACCTCCACCCACAGCATCCCATAATAAGTAACATGCTAAATGTTGTTTTATCCCACATATGTTCTCCAGCAGGGAACTTTGAAAAAGCAACAAAGTTGTAGAATAGGACCTGTAACTGCCCTGCGACAGACTGGCGGCCTGTCCAGGGTGTATCCCGCCTCTCGCCTGGAACGCAGCTGGAGATACGCACCAGCACCTCCCAACACCGTTAGGGAGAAGGGTGACCAGAAAACGGATGGATGGACCTGTAACTGGGTCACCACTGGTGATTGGTAAAACTTCATCTATATCACGTTAAAGACGTGTCAACCAGCAGAAACAGATGGAATCAAAATTAGCAACACAGAAGCAGGTAAAGGAAATTTGGTGCGGGGATGAAATGGCTCCAAAAAGGCTTTGAAGAAAAACAGATTTTTAAGAAGTCTGTCATGAGTTGTGGTTAGTGGTGGTGAAGTAGACGCAGTGGACCCAGGTATGTAGAATGAATTATGATTTTAATGAATGAACTCAGAAAACCACATGAACCAAGAGACAAGGAACTCAACACTGGTGGCACTGGTAGCACTGGTAGCACTGGCAACAAGGACAAACGACAGCACAGTCAGTCACATGTGACACGACTGCAAAGACACGACCAGGATCCAGGTGGGATTAAATAAACAAGGGATGATCAAGGAACACGAGACACAGCCGGGAACAATCAGGGGCATACCGATAAAACACAAGAACTGAACTGACACAGAAAAATCAAATCCTCACAAAGTCTGTATTCCTATTGAAATTTAAATGTTAATAAAATGTATTTTTTAAAAATGTGTTAAACTTTTTTTTAGAGACCACCCTAACCCAATAATGTAAATCTGCCCGAAGTAAGAGTTCATCATTACATTGTGTTTGTTGGTAACCAACTGGGTTTCCCCCCCTGTGGAACAGCAAAAAAGATGAAGAATAAATGTTGGTTTCCCCTCCTCACTTCCCAGCAGTCCTTTCCATTATGCCTCAGTCTGAAGGAGAACAACCGTGTGCCTGTTATAAAGTGCCTGTTCAATGCACAGTGCTAAAGAACAAACAAATAAATTATATTACATAGACAAACTGGTTACAAATTAACTCATAATTATAACTGCCGGCAGTCAGTCTGGAAAACTTGTTCCTGTTCAACAAAACAAAGGGAACATTTTGCATTCATGGCAACTGGGTCCAAACATATAAAAAAAAAACCCTGCAGTTTTAATTATAATAAAAGTGCAATATAATAATTACATTAATTAAATCATTCATTATTTAATTATTAAGGTTTCTCTTAATAATTAAACCTTAACCCTCCTGTAAAATGGAAATTATTCACACGAGCTTTTAAAACTCCCGGATGTTTTACTGCTGCACTCAAGTTCAACTAACAAACGGAAGAGTGAATTTGGTAATTTGGTAGGAAAATAACCAAATTATTGGCTGTCATCATGTAGTTAGGGCTCATTAGTGACAACGTGCAACTTCTCTGAAGTCTACTTTGTTCAGGAATTCAGGGCATGGAGACAAGACCTGTTCTCCGGCTTCATAAATAAATGAAGGCTGTCGTTATTTGTAATTTTTTGCTTTTGGTTGAAAGCCATGATGCCTCTCTTTTCCTCTTTTGGTTCTTGGTCATTATTTCCCCAGGTACACCGCAGAGGTCATTGTTTGGCCCAAAATCATTTCACTTACATATTTCAACAACACATGTATACCAAAGAGGTCCTTGTTTCCAGAAGACAGTTACATTTGTAAAGAATTACAATGAGGCTTAAAACATTGAAGTTGTGCTTTAAATTAAACAAAGTGTCTGGAAATCTGAATGAAAACAAATATACTATGTTCTTCCGGACACCTCAGCTTTCTTAAATACTTTTATTTGTTCATCATAAACATAAAAAAGTAAAGGATAACATTTCTGAGTGTAATACTTGACAAAAAAAAAAAAAGAGAGTCTGTAGAAAACAGGGAGATGTAAAGATGACCCTAGCCTAAACCTGCACCAAGGTGTGGGGCCTCACACACCACACCCACTTGAAATTGATGCATTGGTGTTTTAAAAATGGTCTTGTATATGAAAAGATCATTCTGTTTTTGTTGATTTTTTGGCCGAATTGAAAATATGTCCTCAAAGTATTAAATAAGCCCTTTGAATTTTGTAACTTTGTTCTTTAAGTACACTTTTAGTTACTTTTTATTGATTTTGTTGACGGCCCATAGAAATCTGGAATTGGTTCATTTCTTTGGAGCTGCGCAACAAAGCAAAAAAAAAAAAAAACCCAAACAATTAATTGATTATTGAAACAGTACTTAAGTCAACTTGAAAGTGCACTTCACTTTGATCTGTAACTTGAAATTCATTTGATCAATTCCTAAGAAATTCTTTATGGAATATATATTTTTTTTAAAGAAATGTTTAGTTGTTTTGGATAGCAGTTTAACCCTTTTTAAATGCTAATTTTTGTTTTTATTTATGACCTTATTGAGGTCAGGTTTTTTTGTCCCACCTCCTGGTTCAACCCAGTATGTCGACTGGATCACCGCAGCTTTGCTGCAGGACTTAATTGAACCAAATTACTTCTTTCATGTTTGAGAAGTCTATATTTATATTGAAATTTAGATGTAAATAAAACCATATAAATTTTTTTTAAATGTGTATGTTTAATCTTTTCAGCCACTCTTGTCTCATTTTCTATCAGAAATGTAGTAATAAAAATAAACCTGCTAAAAGTAATTATACTGGTTACATTAAGTGCTGGCTGGCAGACAACTTTTCCCCCTTGTGTTATGGAAAAAGCTAAAGAATAAAACATTGGTTCCCCTTCCCTTCCTTCTCATTAGTCCATTGCATTATGCCTCAATCTGGAGACTCGCAAAAACCTATGAATGAACATGGCGTCCAAAAGGTCAGGTGCTTGAAAGAGAGAGGAAAAAAGAGAGAGTGACATGATGAGTTTCTGTGACTTGCACTCTGTACCTTTTCTGTCCACTGCACCTCCGACTTTCTGCAGTAGATCAAGTAGAAACTGAATAGAACTGAATGGAACAAAAACAAAGTTATTGTTTCAACCTTATTTTCTGATGTAAGACAAAAATGGTACCGAACTACAAAACATTTAATTTGCCTAGAGGCTGCTCCATAGTTGACGTTGTACCGTCAACGATCAAGAATCCTTTTGGCAAATGGATCTCGTTGATGGATTTGCTTCCTTATAAACACAGTTTGGCCCTCCACTGTCATTTCGAAACAGTTCCTGTATCTGTCATGTGACTTGCTGAAAGCAATAAGTGCACCGACACGGAGTTTTGTCTAAGGTCTTAACGCGTGTATCGACTCATTGGTGTTGCCGCACCCATCACTAGTTATTGGCGTTTCATTCTGTTGCGAAAGGCAGTTTCTTTCTTTGCTGGGAGGATCCGTAAGTGGTTCTTGTCTGAAACAAATAATGCATGATAATTGTACAAACTGAAATGGAGCTGAGGAAACTGATTGCTCGAGTCCAAAGATTAAGTTCGACGCAAAAGGTTTCTGTCAAAGAGAGAGAACATTTACATTTCAACAAATACCGGTACCGACAGGGCCGTTTCGATGCTGAATCTGCGTGTCGCCTGTGTCAAGCCAAATCTGACACAGGCGTCTCGATGCCGGGATCGACAGACAGAGGCGTCCCGATGCCGAATCTGGCGCAGGTGTCTCAATGCCGGCACCAACAGAGGCATAGGCCTGAGAGACCTGGTTTCCAAATATGGCGCTTTTTTGTCGTATTTGAAGTAGTATTTCAGATTCTCTGCCAAGTAGCGCACCATCACAACATATGGCGCATCAGCACAAGAATAAATGCAGCTCTATAACGTAATAGGCCTACAAATCAAGTGTTCTGAAGATCTGTGATACCTTGGTACTTTGTCTTAATGGGCCACTTCTTTCGGTAATGAGTAATCCTATTGTGTTACTATTTCAAATCCAGTAATCAGATTAAAGTTATTTATCCAAATCACTGTGCATAATTATTTTTCTTTTGTGATGTCATTTTATTTCTTCTACGCGTCTCGGGGAGCGACCGCCGTTTCTATGCAACAGTTGTCAGCAGCGACAGAAACCTAAACAATGGAGGGAGGAGAGAAATGCAGGTAGAAAGCTTAAGTTATTGTATTCTAACTTAATGTGTGAACTCAGGACACGGTTCACTCACTACATGGGACTATTTTATTGGGAGGAAGCAGTCACGCATGCACTCACCAGCCAATACAACCGGGGCCTGACTAACTGACATAACCAGGGCAGAAATAATTTAAGTTCTTTCACTGCAATAGGTGGAATATAAAAGTGCCGTCACATGAAGACTTAAAGATTTTTGAGTCTGTTTAATTTCTCGGGTCCAGTCACTTCATTTGGTTGTTTTTCCTATTTCACAGTGGATAATAAATCACAGATGTTTTGCACTTTAATTTTAACTATAATGTCCTAAAACCCTTCAAATTTAGAAAATTGAGTGTGTTCAGTGTTGCGTTGACGTTGATGTTCAACAGGCCTCCAGGTGAACATATTGAATACTCATTGGGCAAATGAGTATTTTTATTCTTCCTTAAGTGAATGCTTTGTTAAACTTTTAGATTTATGGATCAATTCTTTCCTGTTTTCAGAAAAACAACCACTGGCGCAGATCATCTTAATTCAGTTTTAAGGAACTTTTTCAACCACACAATAATCACACAAGCACAAAAACAATTTGAAAAAAAAATATAAGAAGAAGAGTGAGTTTATTCACAACCCTGCAGGGAAGTTTGTGCTGTGCAGCAGGTACAGTATATTGTCCTGGGCTAGCCTCAGTTGCTTTAATGCAACTTTGCCTTAAAAGTGTCATAATTTACCGAATGATGCTTCATGACGACAGACATAAACATTCATAAAAACTCCTTCATGTTCATAACAGGCATTATGTCACATTTATGACAGTGTCATGTCAGTCTTATGAACACCACTTCAAATAAAGTGTTACCAATTATTTTTACTCAGCTGAACTTGCAGGAAGAAAATGGACAATGAAAGAGACAAAATGTCCACGGATGGTTTTCAGCAGCACAGTTGCAAATGTGCACTTGAGGACGCAGGTGGAAACGAAAATGAACATAGTTTATTTAGAGAAGCGATGTAATGACAATCTGTCACATTTCACCAAGGGAATCGTCATTAAGCTGGCCGGTTCTCCAACCAGAAACCCTAATAACGGGGAATTTATTAAAAAAAAAAGCAAAACGCAGAAGCAGAAAAGTTTTCTAATCTAATCTTCCTTAATGCCTTTGCGCAACGTCGCAAAGAGCGTGGGAGGGATAATCACACAGCAGCATCGGTTCAGTTTAAAGAGAGGAAGAGCAGAGGATGGCGATGGAGATGAACAGAAAGCTAAATTAACAAACTAAACCAACTTTCCCCTCTAATTATGAAGCAGACTGCCAGTTAGGATAAGTTTATCATTTTTTAGTAATGGCAACTGCAAATCCCAAAGCGCTGTCCTTCTATGACAGGGGTCCCCAAATCAAATGATGGCTCGTTAGAGGCCTTAGAAGAATATTGACATGCTGAAAAGCTTGTCACTACCACCAAGGAGAGAACTAAAACATGCAGGATGCCGGCCCTCGAGGAACAACTTTCGGGACCCCTGCTCTACGAGACTCTGGCCAACAGTGACTGGCATTCCTTACAGCATTGATAAGGTCCTGAGGGCAATATTCAAAAGAGTGGAGCTCTTACTGGTTGATGCCTGGGAGATGACCGTAGCCCACCATCTCCCACACAATCTTCACCAGCAAAGTGGTTTTAGTGCTTCCCAGTTTCATTCAGTGTACAAAATGACATTCTGTACATTGACGTTGGTGCGCTAACTGACGTAAGACGTTGTTTTTTATCTTTAAGGCCTTTTTTCAAGTGTCTTAAAGTGCAATGAAAATATTTCAAAATA